GCAAATGATTTGAAGAGGAATTTCTCAAAGACTTACAGATGGTCAACAAGTATATGATAAAATGTTCAATATCACTAATCATCAGACAAATGCAAATCAAAACCACAATGAGATGTCATCTCACCACAGTTAAAATGGCTATTATCAGAAAGACAAAAAAGAACAAATGAAGGCAAGGATGTGGAGAAAGGGAAACTCTATACACTATCGGTGGGAATGTAAATTAGCACAGCCATTATGGAAAATAGTATGGCGGTTCCTTGAAAAACTACAAATAAGGCTAGCGCAGTGGCTCACGCCTTAGTTTCAACAGGTTGAGAGGCTGAGGCAGGCAGATCACCTGAGGTCAGGAGTTCGAGACCAGCCTGGCCAAAATGGCAAAACCCTGTCTCTACTAAAAAAATAAAAATTAGCCGGGTGTGGTGGCACACACCTGTAATCCCAGCTACTTGGAGGCTGAAGCAGAACTGCTTGAACCCAGGAGGCAGAGGTTGCAGTGAGCCGAGATCATGTCACTGCACTCCAGCCTGGGTGACAGAGCCTGAGACCAGCCTCCGTCTCAAAAAAAAAAAAGAAAAACTATAAATAGAATTACCATATGATCCAGCAATCCCACTAGTGGGTATCTATACAAAGGAAAGGAAATCAGTTTATCAAAGAGATATTGGCACCCTCATGTTTACTGCAGCACTATTCACAATGGCCAAAATATGAAATCAACCTAAATGTCCATCAATGAACAAATGAATAAAGAAAATGTGGTACACAGACACAATGGACTCTCTTATTCAGCCATAAAAAAGAATGAAGTCCTGCCATCTGTGGCAACATGGATGAGCCTGGAGGGCATTACATTAAGGGAATTAAGCCAGGCCCAGAGAGGTAAATACCACATGTTCTCACTCATCCGTGGGAGCTAATAAAAAACAGATCTCAGTTGGTTAAAATCAGTAGGCTGACACCTGGGATTACCAGCACTTTGAGAGGCTGAGGTGGGAGGATCACTTGTGTCCAGGAATTCGAGACCAGCCTGGGCAACAGAGACCTCCTATCTACAAAAAAACCAAAAAATTAGCCAGGCATGGTGACACATACCTGCAGTCCCAGCTACTCAGAAGGTTGAGGCAGAAGGATCATTTGAGCCCAGGAGGTCAAGGCTGCAGTGACCCATGATGGCACCACTGCTCTCAGCCTGGATGACAGATTGAGACCCTATCTCCAAAGAAATTAAAAATTAAAAAAAAAAAAAAAAGGCCAGGCATGGTGGCTCATGCCTGTAATCCCAGCACTTTGGGAGGCCAAGGCAGGCAGATCGCCTGAAGTCAGGAGTTCGAGACCAGCCTGGCCAACATGGTGAAACCCTATCTCTACTAAAAACACAAAAATTAGCCAGGTGTGGTGGTGCACGCCTGTAATCACAGCTACTTGGGAGGCTGAGACAGGAGAATCACTTGAACCCAGGATACGTCGTTTGCAGTGAGCCGAGATTGTGTCACTGCACTTCAGCTTGGGCAACAGAGCGAGACTCCATCCCCCCAAAAAAAAAAAAACTGATCTCAGCCAGCCACGGTGGTTCATACCTGTAATCCCAATACTTTGGGAGGCTGAGGCGGGGGGGATCACCTAAGTTCAGGAGTTCAAGACCAGCCTGGCCAACATGGTGAAACCCCATCTCTACTAAAAATCCAAAAATTAGCCAGGTGTGGTGGCAGGCACCTGTAATCTCAGCTACTCGGGAGTCTGAGGCAGGAGAATCGCTTGAACCTGGGAGGCAGAGGTTGCAGTGAGCCAAGATCGCGCCATTGTACTCCAGCCTGGATGACAAGAGCAAAACTCCATCTCAAAAACACAACAACAACAACAAAAAACTGGTCTCACAGAAGTAGAAAGTAGAACAGTGGTCACCAGAGGCAGGAAAGGGTGAGGGTGTGGGGGGGAATAGGGAGAGACCGGTTAATGGGTACAAAATTATAGTTAGGTAGAATAAGTTATAGTATTCTATAGAACAACAGGGTGACTACAGTGAATAAAACTTTATTATACATTTCAGGCCAGACGCAGTGGCTCACGCTTGTATTCCAAGCACTTTGGGCAGCTGAGGTGGGCGGAACACCTGAGATCAGGAGTTCGAGACCAGCCCGGCCAACATGGTGAAACCCCATCTCTACTAAAAATACAAAAATTAGCCGGGCGTAGTGGTGCACACCTGTAATTCCAGGTACTCAGGAGGCTGAGGCAGGAGAATCCCTTGAACTTGAGAGGCAGAGGTTGCAGTGAGCCAAGATCACACCACTGCACTCCAGCCTGGGCAACAGTGCTAGACTCCATCTCCAGGAAAAAAAAAAAAAATTATTGTATATTTCAAAATAGCCAGAAGAAAGAATGTTGACTGTTTCCTACAAAAAGGATAAGTGTTTCAAGTGATGAATATGCCAATTACCCTGATTTGATCATTATACATTATGTATCAAAATATCACATCGTCCCCCATATATATGTACAATTATTATGTGTCAATTAAAAATAAAAACAGGCCAGGTTCAATGATTCATGGCTGTAATCCCAGCACTTTGAGAGGCCAAGGCAGGAAGATCACTTGAGGCCAGGAGTTCTAGACTAGCCTGGACATTGAGAGACCATCATCACTACAAAAAAATAAAAAAAAAAAACCTCAGCTGAGGCCATGTCCCATGGCTCAGGCTGTAATCCCAACATTTTGGGAGGCAAAGGCGGGAAGACTGCCTGAGGACGCGAGTTCGAGACAAGCCTGGGCAACATAGCAAGACCCCATCTCTACAAAATTAAAATAATTCTCACTTTCATGTGGATCTGCTTATTTTGTACCATGCAATACTGGGAAGACATCATAATTAGCAAATATTATAAATACTTTTTTTTTTTTTGAGAAAGGGTCTCATTTTGTAGCCCAGGCTGGAATGCAGTGAAACTGTCTCGGCTCACTGAAACCTCCGCCTCCTGGGTTCAAGCGATTCTCCTGCCTCAGCCTCCTGAGTAGCTGAAGTTACAGGCATGTACCACCACAGCAGCTAATTTTGTATTTTTAGTAGAGATGAGGTTTCACCATGTTGGCCAGGCTGGTCTCAAAATCCTGACCTCAAGTGATCCTCCCTCCTAGGCCTCCCAAAGTGCTGGGATTATAGGCGTGAGCCAATGTACCCGACATTTTAAATAATTTCTAAAAAATGGTTTTGAAACAAGGTCTCCCTCTGTCACCCAGGCTAGAGTACAGTGGCACAATCATAGCTCACTACAGCCTCAAACTCCTGGGCAAGAAATCCTCCCACATCAGCCTCCAATGTAGTGGGACTACAGGTACGCACCATGGCTGCCTAATTTTTTTTTTTTTTTTTTGAGATGGAGTCTCAATCTGTTGCCCAGGCTGGAGTGCAGCAGTGCAATCTCCACTCACTGCAACCTCTGCCTCCTGGGTTCAAGCGATTCTCCTGCCTCAGCCTCCCAAGTAGCTGGGACTACAGGCACATCCCACCAAGCCTGGCTAATTCTTTGTATTTTTAGTAGAGATGGGGTTTCACGGTGTTAGCCAAGATGGTCGCCATCTCCTGACCACGTGATCCGCCTGCCTCAGCCTCCCAAAGTGCTGAGATTACAGGTATAAGCCACCACGCCCAGCTGGCTGCCTAATTTTTAAAACTTTTTTGTAGAGACGAGGTCTTGCTATGTTGCCCAGGCTGTTCTTGAACTCCTGGCATCAAGGAATTAAAATATTTTAAACTATTTAATTATCCTCATCCTTTAAATTTTCCTATTTCTGTATGTTTTATAACATATATCAGTATATATTAGTACATGATATTCTACTGTAACCATATATATATATATAATACAGACTAAGAGCTTAACTTTTTTTTTTTACTGTTTATTTAGGTGACATAGTCAATAAAGCTTGGAGACCACTAACCTGGAGTCAGCTCAGAAGTCCTGAAGCCCTCTTCCCAGTCCCCTATTCACTGTCCCAAGATGACCAAAGCCAAAGGTGAGCCCTTGGCCCAGTAGGATCAGAGAAAGTGGAGGCAGTGAGGAGGGAGCCTGGCTTCCCGCCCCTCCCCAAGCTGCACAGAGGGCCTACCTGATTGTGCCATCGGATGACATTTCCAAATCCCCCTGTCCCAAGGCGCTCTTTCATTTCCCAGGCCCCACATGTCTGAGTTGTCAGGGAAGGTGACCAGCTCATACTGATGTCGTGCTAACTCTGTAAGCAATTTGGGATGGGGAAAAAGGTTAGGATTAAGAAAAAAAAAAAAATGGAGCTCAAAGAGATGGAGAAGGCAAGAGATATCACTGCTCTTGAATGGGAGAGAAGAAAAATACAACTGGTTTTTTACTTTGTAAAGAAACCAATGTGTTTGGTTTGTCCAAACTTTGTGGCAAACTTTTGTCCCTCTCACCCTCCCCCATCTCGTTGCTGTGGCATCAGGCAGGGAACAAAGTCACGGAGGGAGGCGATGTCCACGCCCTTGCCCCAGCGAGGAGATCCCCAGCTGACTCCACCAGGGGCGCCCGGGCCTGCCCGCCTTCTGCCCGAGGTGGCAGGGACAGAACCTACTTCTGAGCGTCCCCTCGGTCACGTGTTTCTTTACAACGTTCCCATAAATCGCAGGTTTCCCTCAAAGCCACCCACCCCCAAGAAGCCATCCCAGCCAGGGCTGTTTCTCCCGGCTTCCCGAACTCCAATCCGCACGAAACGCTCCCCAGTCCGCAAGCTGCGACTTGCCAGCGGCACAGAGGGGTCTTCTGGGCCTTGCAGGCAGCGGAGCGACGGGGCCTGCAGGTGGCACCCGGGCCGCACCCGCGAGGGGGACTCACCTGTCGGCAGGGACGCGGGGCAGGGGGAGGGCTCCCCGGGGCGGGGGAGGCGGGGCTGGGGCGGCCGAACCCTGGGCTCTGATACCCCTCTGAAAACATTAAAATGCGGGAATCTTAACGCGGGCAGCGCGGCGCGACTTCCTCAAACACTTCCTGCTCTGACATCACTGAGCACGTGGGCTGCGGCCGCTCTTAAAGTGGCCGCGAGGGTCGCGAGGCTGACCAGGTCCGGATGCTGCGAGCGCCGCGGGCCAGGTGGGCCTGTCCCGGGACCCGCAACCGGGCGACTTCCCGGGGGCAGGGGTGGCGTGTGGCCTGTAGAATAAACTGAGGGAAAGTAGACAGACTGTGCTCACCGATTTAAAAGAACAGCCCTGAAATGACCCCCGTTACGCCCTGTTCTCTTTAGACGAGTGACTTCCACCTGGAGCGGTTTCTGGGCCCGGGCATGGGGATTTCCTCACCCGGCCGCCTAGGCTTTCACCTCTGTGGAATTTCCCGCGCCCCTGCTGGGATGATTTAGGGACTGTTGGCTAGAACTGCCCTTGCCGCCCGCCCTACTGCGGGCGCTCCCCTGTCTGTGGGGGGTGCTTGGCTGGGTGTGGAGAAGGATCAATCACAGCTGACTCCTGAGAGGTGACAGCCCCCGCCCCCTTAAAAACAAGAAAAGATCTGGAAGTGTGAAGCCAAACTGCAGCCCCACCCCCGGTGACAGGAGGAAACCGCGAGGCGCACAGCCTAAGGTTCATCGTTCATCTCCTTCTGCTTGGAGTCAGAATGTCCTCACTGCTGAGTTCCTCCGTTTTGTGGGATTACATTAGTGGACAAAGGAGGTGTGTGTGTGTGTTGCTATATTTTATTCAAGCAGGAAAAAACTACCAAAGGAACCTGAAGATGATAATAATAGCTCACATCTATAGAGTGCTTACACAGTGCAGGGCTCTGTTCTAAATCTCTGAACTTAGATTTCCTTACTCAATCCTCAGGGCAATCCTGTAAATTGGACAATACTGCATTATTATTATTATTATTATTATTATTATTATTATTATTATTTCGCTCTGTCACCCAGGCTGGAGTGCAGTGGTGTGATCACGGTTCACTGCAGCCTCCAACTCTTGGGCTCAAATGATTCTCCTGACTACAGGTGCATGGCTGCCATACCTGGTGGCAGGGGTCTCACTCACTGAGTTGCCCAGGCTAGTCTCGAACTCCTGGGCTCAAGGGATCCAGCCGCCTGGACCTCCCAAAGTGTTGGAATTACAGGTGTGAGCCACCGTACCTGGTCTGCATTATTATTATTTCCGAGGCACAGGGCTGCTACGTAGATGAACTGATACTCAAACCCTAGCAACTGGTTCTCGGGTTCTTAATGGGTGGTTAAAAGTAGCATGTTAAGTTCAGAGGGAGGCAAACTGGATTTTGAATTCAGATACTGCTGTTGACTACCTCTGAGGCACTGGGGCTGGTTTGTTAAACACTCTGAGCATCTATTTCCTCTTTTAAAATTTAGGCAGTATTAGGTTGAATTGCATTTAATTGTCATTTTTTGGAAATTGAAAACATTTTTTGGAAAGCCAAAACATCAGTGGCAAAGATCAGCAGTTTCATCTGCTTCACTGTAATAGCAGGGGGACAGGTGGGCTCATAGAAAGTCATAGAAAGGAGGCCACCCCAGAGTTGTTGTGAGGGACAAATGAGGTATTGATAGCAGCAGTGCCTGACAGCCCTGGGGTTGAAGTTAACTCAGGGACAGATCTCAACCCAAACATAGGGGTCAGTGGTGTCCAGGGCTGTGCTAGGCAGGCTGGCTGCTCTGTTTCTTTTCCCTCCCCCTCCCCCCCCCCCCCCCCCCCCCCCCGCTGTCCCTCTTTCTTTTTCTTTCTCTCTCTCCTTTCCTTTTCCTTCCTTCCTTCCTTCCTTCCTTCCTTCCTTCCTTCCTTCCTTCCTTCCTTCCTTCTTTCCTTCCTTCCCCCTCCCCTCCCTCCCATCCCCTCCCCTCCCTTCCAGGCTACTTAGTTTCTTTCTCCCTTCCCCTTCCCCTTCCCTTTCTCCTTCCCTTCCCTACCCTTCCCTTCCTTTCCCTTCTTTCTCCCCCCTCCCTCTCTCTCTCTTTCTTTCTCCTTTCTTCCTTCCTTCCTTTCCTTTCCCTTTCCTCCCCTCCCCTCTTCTCTCCTCTCCTTTCTCTTTTTCTTTCTCTTTCTCATTCTCTCTTTTCCTTGCTTCCTTCCTTCCTGCATGCATGCCTGCCTGCCTGCCTTCCTCCTCCCCTTTCCCCTCCCCTCCCCTTCCCTTCTCTTCCCTTCCTGGCTACTTAGTTTCTTTCTTTTCTTTCCTTCCCTTCCCTTTCCTTCCTTCCTTTCTCTCTTTCTTTCTCTTTCTTTCTCCTTCCTTCCTTCCTTTCTCCCTTTCTTTCTCTTTCTCTTTCTTTCTCCTTCCTTTCTTTTTTCCTTTCCTTTCCTCCCTTCCCCTCCCCTCTCTTCCCTTCCCCTCCCCTCCCCTTCCCTTCCCGGCTGCTTGATTTCTTTCTTTTCTTTCCTTTCTTTCTTCCTTTCCTTTCCTTTTATTTTTTCTTTCTTGACAGGGCCTCTCTCTATCGCCCACTTTGGAGTGTAGTGGCAGGATGCTCACTGCAGCCTTGACCTCCTGGGTTCAAGGGGTCCTCCCACCTCAGCCTCCCCACTATCTGGGATTACAGGCACACGCCACCATGACCAGCTAATTTTTAAATTTTATTTTGTTGAGACGAGGTCTCACTATGTTGCTCAGAGTTGGCTCAAACTCCTGGCCTCAAAGCAATCCTCCCACCTTGGCCTCCGAAAGTGAAGGGATTACAGGTGTGAGCCACCGCTCCTGACCTGGCATTTCTTGATTACTCCCAGCTAAATGGCAAGCTCAGCCTCAAGGCTGGAAGCAACAGGAACATGAGTAAATAGTTGTAACACAAGTAGAATAGTGCCTGCATTGTCTAAATGCAATATAAGTGTTTGCTTAATAAGTAAATTTTTTAAATAAAATATTTATTGGCCAGGTGAGGTGGCTCATGCCTGTAATCCCAGCACTTTGGGAGGCTGAGGTAGGCAGATCAATTGAAGTCAGGAATTTGAGACCAGCCTGGCCAACATGGTGAAACCCTGTCTCTATGAAAAATACAAAAATTAGCTGGGTGTGGTGGCGAGTGCCTGTAATCCCAGCTACTTGGGAGACTGAGGCAGAAGAATTGCTCAAACCCAGGAGTTGGAGGTTGCAGCAAGTGGAGATCGCACCAGTGCACTATAGCATGGGCAACAGAGCTAGACTCCATCTTGGAAAAAAAAAAAAAAAATTAGGCCGGGTGCGGTGACTCAACCCTGTGATCCCAGCATTTTGGGAGGCCGAGGCAGGCAGATCACCTGAGGTCATGAGTTCAAGACTAGCCTGGCCAACATAGTGAAACCCCGTCTATACTGAAAATACAAAAATTAGGCCGGGCACAGTGGCTTACACCTGTAATGCCAGCACTTTGGGAGGCCGAGGTGGGTGGATCATGAGGTCAGGAGATCAAGACCTTCCTGGCTGACATGGTGAAACCCCATCTCTACTAAAAATACAAAAAAAAAAAAATTAGCTGCTGCGTGCCTATAATCGCATACTGGTGCGTGCCTATAATCCAAGCTACTTGGGAGGCTGAGGTAGGAGAATCGTTTGAACCCAGAAAGCAGAGGTTACTGTGAGCTGAGATCGTGCCATTGCACTCTAGCCTGGGCAATGAGGGAAACTCCGTCTCAAAAAAAAAAAGAAAAAAAAATTATTCAGCATCTGTATGTGCTGGGCACTGTGGAGAGTCTATTTCCAGTACCATGTCATAAAAAAGTTCTCTTTAATCCTGTCATCTCTGAAAAACACTGTCCCTGAGAAACTTACCGAGACATCCGCTAATATGCCAAAAGTTTACTCTGCGCTCCTGTAATTTGAATCCTCATTTTGCTCAGCTCAAAATAACTTGGCTTTCAACGGAACATAAATCTCTCTGATAAGGTCACGTATTACTAGACTTTTTTTTCTTCAGTTAATCATGGCCCAGGAAGGGGCCTCTGGGTTTTATCATATTCCAAGATATTTATTATCTTAAGCTCAATTTTCTATCCAGATAAGACATGTTTGGATATCTCTGCCTGCATCTGCTTTCTGTCCTCCTCTGGAGACATGAGCAGACTGTTTACAAAAGACATTTTCAGATTCAGCAGAAAAAGGTCCCTTTTTCTTCCTGCTTTGAGGCTGACTGTGCTATTTAGCTGTGCTATAGGGAAATCAAGAAATACTGACCAGCCAGAGTACCTAGCTCAGCCCAGGGCATTACTGACCCAGGGGATCCAAGCAATGGAATGAGATCTCATCAGAAGCACTTAGAATCTTACTGGGTTTTTAAGACCCACAGAGAGCCATCAAGTAAGGACAGACAAAGGCCAGGCAATATAAAATCACACACGAATTTGGTCTGCAGTAATTAGTACCACAGTACAGTACCTTATAGGAAAGGGGTCCTGATCCAGACCCCAAGAGAGGGTTCTTGGATCTGGTGCAAGAAAGAATTCAGGGTGAGTCAGTAAAGTGAAAGCAAGTTTATTAAGAAAGTAAAGGAATAACAAAACGGCTACTCCGCAGACAGAGCAGCCCCCGAGGGCTGCTGGTTGCCCATTTTTATGTTTATTTCTTGATGATAGGCTAAACAAGGGGTGGATTATTCATGCCTCCCTTTTTTAGACCATATAGGGTAACTTCCTGACGTTACCATGGCATTTGTAAATTGTCATAGCGCTGGTGGGAGTATAACAGTGAGGACAACCAGAGGTCACTCTCGTGGCCATCTTGGTTTTGGTGGGTTAGAGCCTGCTTCTTTACTGAAACCTGTTTTATCTGCAGGGTCTTTATGACCTATATCTTGTGCTGACCTCCTATCTCATCCTGTGACTTAGAATGCCTGAACCATCTGAGAATGCAGCCCAGTAGGTCTCAGCCTCATTTTACCCAGCTCCTATTCAAGATGGAGTTGCTCTGGTTCAAATGCTTCTGACAGTACTAGTGATAAGGATAAGGTTTCTGAGCACTGTTAAATTTAAAATGAAATCTTGTTCCCAGAGTAAGTCAAAGATAACTGTCTTCTTACTCAGTCTTTTATGTCATCCACTGATCAGACTCTGCTCTCTCACCTGATGGCAATGACGCGCAGCAACACTGAGCTCCTCCGAGTGAAGAAATCATTGTTTTCTGCACAACCTGGAGCTGAATCATAGAAGAAGACAGCTTGAAAGATAAGAGGCCGTAAGGCAGACCACAGAGGTTGGGGAGGATTTCCCCAGCACCCCAGCCCCCACAGTCAGCTCTGGTTCAGCGATTTCAGCAACTCTTTCTTGACCCATCTGATTTTGTTTTATCCCAGCCCTACAGAGAAAGGACTCTACAGGTCAGGACTTGCTTCTTCAACAAACAAAAACTCCTCTGCCAGAAAAGTTGGAGAAACTAGTTTAGTCGGAGGATATGAAGAAGTCACATCCTGTTTGTTCTGGGGACCTTGTTCTGGGGACCTTGGTGGGAAATGAGGGTGGGCTGGTGGAGACAAGGATGAGAATGAACCTTACTGCAGACCCTTTGGGCTCCACGAGGAGCTGGCTGCAGAAGAGGAAGGGAAGGAAGTTGGCCAGCTGCTGTCTCTGTGACTGGACTTGGGCCAATCAAGAAACTGAGAGGAGCAGGGCCAGCCAGGCTGTTGTGCCTCAAACTTAGGCAGAAACAAGAAAAGGCAACGATTTGGGGCTCTGAGTCACCCTCTCTGGAGAAAAGAGAGCTTGGAGGAGGAAATCACTTTTTGAGCTCCCTTTGCTTTTACACACACATGTGTTTATTCCAGTAAATTCAAACCAAAGAGGAAGAAGTCATGAAAGGGCAGCTGCCACCTCAGGCCGTGGTGACCGAGACAAAGGATATGGGCTGGATGTAGATGTCTAAGAAACCAACAGGTATGCTTTTCGGCTTACCTTGGTTCTGAGCGCCTACTTTTGACCCATGGGATCAAAGATATTGTTCACGGCTCCATTCCCAGCACCTGGTACATCATAGGTACTCAATAAAAATTTTACCAAATGAATGAGAGAAATGGCCAATACAAAGACTGGCCAATACTAAGAGTGAAACAGCACTCTTTAGCCTTGGGCTATGCATTGTCTTTGGAGCTTGAGAGATGTGAGTTCCAATCCTGGCTCTGTCTTTTCTCGGCTTTGTGAACTCAGGCAGTTTATTGACCCTCACGGAGCCTCAGTTTTCTCTTCCATGAAGTAGGGGGGAATAAAACCTACTCCTCATGGAGATAATATACATAAAAGTGCAGAGCCTGATGCTTGTGAAGCTCCCTTTGAATATTAGTTATTAATGCGTTACTTTTTTAATGCGGTAACCCAGAAGTTGGTTGATATTCTTGTTCTGTGATTCAAGTGAAATGGGCTCTGGCTGGGCGCAGTGGCTCATGCCTATAATCCCGGCATTTTGGGAGGCCGAGACTGGCAGATCACCTGAGGTCAGGAGTTCAAGACCAGCCTAGGCAACATGGTGAAACCCCGTCTCTACTTTAAAAAATACAAAAAAATTAGCCAGGCGTGGTGGTGGGCACCTGTAATCCCAGCTACTTGGGAGGCTGAGGCAGGAGAATTACTTGAACCCGGGAGGCAGAGGTTGTAGTATACTGATTGTGCCACTGCATTCCAGCCTGGGCGACAGAGCGAGACTCCATCTCAAAAAAGAAAAAAAAGGGCCGGGCATGGTAGCTCATGCCTGTAATCCCAGCACTTTGGGAGGCCAAGGCAGGCAGATCACATGAGGTCAGGAGTTTGAGACCAGCCTGACCAACATGAAGAAACCCTGGCTCTACTAAAAATAGAAAATTTGCCGGGCATAGTGGCACATGCCTGTAATCCCAGCTACTCAGAAGGCTGAGGAAGGAGACTCACTTGAACTCAGGAGGCAGAGGTTGTGGTGAGCCAAGATCAGGCCATTGCACTCCAGCCTGGGCAACAAGAGTGAAACTCTGTCTCAAAAAATAATAATTAAAAAAAAATGAAATGAGCTCCAAGCTCCACATCTTCCCCACTCCCCTTGCAATGCAAGGCCCCTATCCTTTCATCTCTCCCCTCTCCCCGGGACCTTGGTGTCAGAGGTGGCAGTGTGCACTGGTGGTTGAGGCAGTTGGATGTTTTTTAGTCACCTCTGCCTCTGACCTTCTACTTTTGCTAAACTCTTAACTGCCTTTGCGTTTTTTTTTGTTTGTTTGTTTGTTTGTTTTTTTTGGAGTCTGGGTCCTACTCTGTCATCCATCTTGGAGTGCAGTGGCATGATCATAGCTCATGCAGCCTTGAAGTCCTGGGTTCAAGTGATGCTCCTACCTCAGCCTCCCCAGTAGCTGGGACCACAGGTGTGCGCCACCACTCCCAGCTAATTTGCTCTACTTTTTAAAAGATAGGGTCTCACTATGTTGCCCAGGCTGATCTGGAACTCCTGGGCTCAAGCAGTCCTCCTGCCTTGGCCTCCCAAAGTGCTGGAATTTCAGATGGGAGCCACCCTGCTTGGTTCAATTCCGTTTGTTTACTTTTTAGCGTGAAGGTTGTTCTCCACTACCACCAAATATAGGGTCAAGATTCCACATTTGGCCTGGGTACTGTGGCTCACACCTGTAATCCCAGCACTTTGGGAGGCCAAGGCAAGTGGATCAATTGAGCCCAGGAGTTTGAGACCAGCCTGGGCAACATGGCAAAACCTTGTCTCTACTAAAAATACAAAAATTAGCCAGGCATGGTGGCGGGTGCCTGTAATCACAACTACTCAAGAGGCTCAGGCAGCAGAATCACTTGAACTTGGGAGACAGAGGCTGTAGTGAGCCAAGATCGTGCCACTGCACTTGAGCCTGGGTGACAGAGCAAGACTCTGTCTCAAAAAAATAAATAAATAAAAAGATCTACATTTGGGGAAGTGGCAGGGGTCAGCACATCTGGAGTGCAATGGATAAGCCTCACTCTGGGAGAACCACGTTCGTGAGCATGGCATCTCCCCTGCCAGGTCAAGATAAAGGCCAATTTTGATTTATTAGGTTGGTACAAGAGTTATTGAGGTTTTTGACGTAATAATTTCTTAATATCCTTTCTAGAGAATTTCTAAGGTGTGGGCAGACTGCTGGGTTGGGCTGAATTTCTCCTGTCTGAGGAATCAGAGGCCAGAGGTGACCAAATGACTGACGCAACTGGGTAAATCCAGGTTTAGTGACCCCAGAACAACACGAGGCTGGCTGGGCTATGGTGCGAAAGGGCCGCTCATCACTGAGACTGCAGAGCCTGTGCCAAGAGAGGAAGAGAGGCTAGGCGCGGTGGCTCATGCCTGTAATCCCAACACTTTGGGAGGCCAAGGCAGGCGGATTGCAAGGTCAGGAGATCAAGACCATCCTGGCTAACACGGTGAAACCACGTCTCTACTAAAAATACAAAAAATTAACTGGGCGTGGTGGCAGGTGCCTGTAGTCCCAGCTGCTCGGGAGGCTGAGACAGAAGAATGGCGTGAATCTGGGAAGCGGAGCTTGCAGTGAGCCAGGATCACACCACTGCACTCCAGCCTGGGGGACAGAGCAAGACTCTGTCTCAAAAAAAAAAAAAAAAAGAAGAATGAGGAAGAGAGAACAGAAGAAAAAAAGAAGCTGGTTTGGAGGGAGCATGGTGGAAAGGGTCACTAGGCAGCGGAGATGGGAACTTTAACCAAACCCTGGGCTGTGTTACAACTCAGCTACAGACCCCAGTCCCTCCTGGGCTCACGCCTCTCTCTGCACTTCCCCTTGTCATTAGTGCCTGGCCCTCCTACCTGCCTGTCCCAACTTTTCCTTTCTGCAGGAGTCTGCTGGTGACTATCCGGGAGGCCAGATCACTGTAGGAGACTGGAATATGCCACCCAAGATAGGCGTTTTTGGCATGCGGATTATTCTGAGAAACAGCAACTGAAGAAGCAGCTCTGAAAGCAGAGTAAAAATGACCCTTTTGCCTGGGCATTGTGGCGGGCGCCTATAATCCCAGCTACTCGGGAAGCTGAGGCAGGAGAATCACTTGAACCTGGGAGGCAGAGGTTGCAGTAAACTGAGATGGCGCCATTGCACTCCAGCTTGGGTGGCAAGAGTAAAACTCCATCACAAAAAAAAAAAAAAAAAAAGTGTTTAAGGCCGGGCGTGGTGGCTCACACCTGTAGTCCCAGCACTTTGGGAGGCTGAGACAGGTGGATCACCTGATGTCAGGAGTTCAAGACCAGCCTGACCAACATGGTGAAACCCTGTCTCTACTAAAAATACAAAAATTAGCCAGGCATGGTGGTGGGCGCCTGTAATCCCAGCTACTTGAGAGGCTGAGGCAGGAGAGTCGCTTGAACTTGGGAGGCGGAGGCTGCAGTGAGCTGAGATCATGCTACTGCACTCCAGCCTGGGTGACAGAGTGAGACTCATCTCAAAAAATTAAATTAAATGAAATATTGTAAAAGCTACCCTTTTGTAAGGGAAATTTACATCTACAGAAACCATCTCTCTGCTGTTTTCTGATAGTCTCAGAAACAACAAAAAACGTCTCTTTCCAGGCATAGCGGCTCATGCCTATAATCCTAGCACATTGGGAAGCCCAGGCAGGAGGATCACTTGAGCCCAGGAGTTTGAGACTAGCCTGGGCAATATAGGGAGACCCCATCTCTACAAAAAAATCAAAATATTAGTTGGCTGTGGTGTCATGCCTGTAGTCCCAACTACTGGAGAGGCTGAGGTAGGAGGGTCACTTGAAATCAGGAATTTGAGACCAGCAAGACCTTATCTCTAATTAATTTAAAAATGTATAATTAAAAAATAAAATTTTATAATTAATTATAAAAAATAAAATAAAATTCATTTAAAAATAAAATATAATTCTCTATATATACTTAAATACCAGAAAAACCCAGCTGGCCATGGTGGTTCACACCTGTAATCCCAGGACTTTGGGAGGCCAAGGCGGGTGGATCACCTTAGGTCAGGAGTTCGAAACCAGCCTGGCCAACATGGTGAAACCCCATCTCTACTAAAAATACAAAAAATTAGCCAGGCATAGTGGCGGGCGCCTGTAATCCCAGTTCCTTGGGAGACTGAGGCAGGAGAATCGCTTGAACCCGGGAGGCAGAGTTTGCAGTGAGCCAAAATCATGCCATTGCATTCCAGCCCGGGCAACAGAAGTGAAACTCCATCTCAGAAAACAAACAGAAAAACGCATCTCCATTTGTAAGGGTTTCTCTGTCCCTATACCAGGAAGAGAAGTGTGGCTCTAATTCACCAGAAACTCTAATCATTAGAGAAGACATCAACATAAATCTGCACTACAAACCTTAGCTTTACTTACCAAGCTTTTTCAGGACACCACCCCATAACGGTCCACCACAAAACCGTTCTTGCTTTGTTTCACCTGGAGATGGTATTTAAGTCCGAATTCTAAGTCACCCTTCTAGATTTTACTCATTTCTCTGGGTATCTCCTATGAATACTTGAAATATACATGTTGTTAAACTTCCGTTTGTTTTTCTCTTGTTAATCTGCCATTTTGTTACAGGAGGTCTCAGTCGGGAACACAGAAAGGATATAGAGAAAATTATTGTTCTGCCCCTACAGTTTTAGTGACCCAGATGGGATCTCTGGTACACCCTACCTGCTCTACAATTGGGATCCCTGGAAAAGTGACAGAATCTGGCAACGGGTAAGAATGTAGTGTCGGCCGGGTGTGGTGGCTCACACCTGTAATCCCAGTATTTTGGGAGGCCAAGGCAGGTGGACCACTTTAGCCCAGGAGTTTGGGACCAGCCTGGGCAAGATGGCAAGACCCTGTCGCTACTAAAAATACAAAAAAATTAGTCGGGCGTAGTGGCTCCTGCCTGTAATCTCAGCACTTTGGGAGGCCGAGGCTGGTGGATCACTTGAGTCTAGGAGTTTGAGATCAGCCTGGTCAACATGGCAAGTCCCCGTCTCTACTAAAAATACAAAAAATTAACCGGGCATGGTGATGTGCACTTGTAGTCCCAACTACTCGGGAAGCTGAGGCAGGAGAATCATTTGAGCCCAGGAAATTGAGGCTGCAGTGAGCCGTGATTACACCACTGCACTCCAGCCTCAGCAATGAGCATGAGACCCTGTCTCAAAAAAATAAAAAGTAGGCCGGGCGCGGTGGCTCACGCCTGTAATCCCAGCACTTTGGGAGGCCAAGGTAGGCAGATCACGAGGTCAGGAGATCGAGACCATCCTGGCTAACAAGGTGAAACCCCATCTCTACTAAAAATTCAAAAAAATT